GACATTAGATTAGGTTGGATTAAAACAGCATTCTAACTATGCATGCATCAATACATGCATACTTATCAATATATTTTCACTCAACAATTGTCCTCCTAGAACTTTGAAACCACTGCTTAAACTTTGAAAAGAAACTTCTCAAAACTAGAACTCTTACAGGGAATTTGAGAAAGGAAATGTACAATGTGGGAATTGGTGGTACCTTCTCTTTGAATTGTCAACATAAACCCCAAACTGCTTTTTCAGACGAGTTTGGGTAATATTTTGAAATTCTGCGGTAGAAATTGGTAGAGCATATATTTTCAATTACCAGAACGAAGCAGTCCAAAAATTTGATTATATTGTGATTAAAATGGTCGAAGTTGTCCAACAAGAAGCATTTATCCATACCATTATAATTATGAACATTGGTTGAAAGCAAATGCTTAGGCTAGAAAAAATCAGTGGTGTGTAATAAAACAGACCTGATGTGGATGAAGACATTCAGTGTTAATGACACGTTTTTGCTTTCCCTATTTACCAAGTAACAACATTCTAAGCTGATGCATTTAGATCAAAGACATACTTATAACATATATTTATGTTATGGTATAAAGACCACAATAATATTGTAACATACTATTTTTCTTATGAACTGAGTTAACAAAAGCTATGTGGTTTCAGCGCTACTATTTCAGTAAAACATTAGGTTATTATTATGAATATTAAACTGAATAGAGGTTTCAAAACATAAAAACTGTCCATTTTATTTTATCTTGCAGTTTTTAATCTAAACTATTATGGTTTATGTGTTAAAACACTTAATAATGTGAATGCAATTGGTACTGAGCTGACAAAATTGTATGGAAAATCCCCAAAATTAATCTGTCCAGAATTTTAGAAGAACTCACAGATGGTTCTGGATACCTGTGAGAAAAATAACAGGGACCCAACCATGCTATTAAGTATTAGAACATCAATGGCTTTAAACATTTAAAACCTCATTAAGGTAAGCACATTATATCTGTCATTATTAGATACCAGAAAAACTGGAAGCTGGAAAAGCAGTTTGAGGACTCTGAAGAAGACCACATCAGGGAAAACCATGACCAACGAGCACAATACTTTTCTCAGATTTTCCCTTTAAAAGAGCTTTCATGTCAGATCCCCAAGCTTTTTAAAAAATTCAATTTTAAGAAGCAGTTTGGGGCTCTGCAAGGGCAAGTGAAGAGACTGCCAGGAAAACCTGGATTTTTCTGTAGTCTGTCTAACTTTTGAAGTTGCATTTGTTTCAAGAGCTGTTTCTCTAATTTTTCTTGGAAATCTTATATGCATTCCTTAGAAATTACCTTGTTACCTTAAAACGAACTACATGTTGTGCATGTTTTGCAAGAAGTCAGTAAGACGATTTCTACTGAAGCATTCAAATAACACTGAAAATGCTCATATATTTTTCAGAGCATATAGATTTTGCAAATTGTTTATCTTGAGAAGGCCGATAAAGAAATAGTTTCCTTGTAAATATTTATCCCGTTTTTCCATCTTACAAAACTCATATCTACATTTTTCTTCATTCTTCAGGCTCTACATTAATATTTATGATAAATAATTTAAAATAATTTAAATTTAGCTTAGGCAAACATTATTTACTCCCAAGTCTCAGAAATAGGTATCAATGAAGAAAACACAAATTGTAACACAGGCATTTTCTTAAAATACTAATCACAGGTAACAGAACTCTTGAATCTCGTTAATTTATCACAATATTTTAAAAATGAGTTATTGTTTAAAAAATGGTTCCACTGACCAAAATTTCAGAGGGGATATCAAGGAGATTAATATTTCAGCAAATGTTTACCCCACGTTAGGACTTCTTGCTAACAGTAAATTGAAAGCACCAGTGTTACTGTATCAATATTAATATAGAGCCCATCAAAATATTATAAAAATCCTATATTAAATTAAACATAGGAGCCTTCACCAAACTTGCTGCAAGTTTGGGGACATAAATATCCAACAGCTATGAAGCTGTGAAAGCCCCTAGAATGAATAAAATAAATCCCACTTGCCTCAGACTGAACAGGGCAACACTGAGACTCTGCCTCAGCCTGTCCTATGGCAGGGCTATAGGAAGAAGAAAATTTAAAATTTTAGAAAAACATGACCCAATTAAGGCTAAAAGTACATGCAATCAATAGTAACAGAATTCCAGTGATCAAATGAAAGTTTGGTCTCAAAATTTTAGGTCCATACGTGACATGGAATATATAAATCAGCTTTGGCTTCTATAGGGGGAAAAAATCCAATTGAGCTCACCTTAAAAATTGACAACTGCTGTGTAACAGTTAACAGCAGGCGCTGTAAGCAGTGGAATATTCCATACTAATTCAGTAAAAGTTTTTAAATATTAAAGAACATCCATCTGCTTTTCAAAAATTTATACCACTTATATAAGTAGCTAGACCAGTACAATTATTAAGATAATTGTAATATGTATTAATAAATGCCAGAACTATGCATTTTTATTTAAATATAAATAAAATCAGAATTCAAAATTGTTTTCATAGTTCTCTTTTTCACTATGGCCAGTGAATTTTTATTTTAAACAAAAAGGTACCTATTACGTTCTATACTGTTTGAAACCAGGTTACAGAGAAAACAAAATAAGCCCTTATATGCTAAAAGAAAGTTTTATTTAGTATCTGAATGCAGTTGTTCTATTGCAAATTTTGTAGTAGGAAACACAACTTTATTTCCTGATAGAAACCATGTGGCCCTTTTCCAATCAGAAGACAAATAAATCTGCCCCTGGGAGAGGAAGAAAAGATCTACTGGCTCCATAATACCCTCTCCCACTGAAAACAAAGTAGGTATTAACAAGCCAAGTATATAACATAAGCAGCACTCAATTTTCCTGCAGTGCTAAAGGAACAATATAACCATTGAAACAATTAAAATTCTTATCAGAATATGCTATAACTAAAAGTAGAAAGTTTTAAGTTAAGCAACTGATACTACTGGAGGCTTTCTAAAACAAAAACCTTATGTGATATAATCCATGCTTCCAGAAAAATCTTTTTGATGAGTCATGTAAAAAACTTTCTATTAAATTTTGCAAAAGGGAAAAATCTCACAACCATTGTATGAGCTGAAATCTAGCAAACAAATGGCACAATCCAAAGAAGCTGTATGCTTCCACAAACTTCACAGGTAACAGCTATTTAATAAGCCATTTTTAAACTGAGGAGTTGCTTGCCACACTAATAGAAGAATCTGTATGAAGCAAGTTCCAAATATACCAGCTATTTTCATTCATGTGATCATATAAATTCTTTGGAAGATGGTTAAGATATCTAACTACACAAAGGTTACTGCAATGGGGCAAAAAGAGAATGAAACAAAAAATAAACAGCCAAGTGATCAGGATTGCCTATTTTTATTATCTTCTCTGAAAAAATAAGTGATCAAATCAGAAAGACACATATTTAGACTGCCAATTATCTGTGTATAATGAGAAAATATATTAAGAAAAAAAGGGACATGTATAGAGAATTAATAAGACTTTGTGAGTACAAAGCCAGAATTTTCAAATACGAACCAATAGCGTGGAAAAAATTAAGCAGTAAAATGCAGACATTGATAATTGGTGGAATTAACATGTATAACTGCCACTGGAGCAGAAAAAAAAGAACAAAATATTTCATTTACAATATCAATTAATAAAGAATACTCAAGGATATCTTCTTATGCCTGGCACTCAAGGAAAGGTTTCATCACATTAATATCAGATATAAAGCTAGAAGATTAAAAAATTAAGGTCTAAAGTATTTGGACAGTCTCCCAAATATGCTATACTTTTAAACTTACAATCAAGAGGAACTCATTGCCACCTACTGAAAGAATTTTGTTCCTACTTTCCAGTTAAGTTTCATAAATGGGAATCAGTCCAGTTAAAGAACCAGCTAAAATTTCACACAGCAATTCCAGGATCTTTTGCAGAATATGATCCTGTCATGTAGGCCTAACCCTCTACAATCTAGTAAATCATGTCATGAAGGATATTATATTGGACAACTTCAGCTGTATTGTAGTTTTTAACTAGACCAGTCCTCACTTTCCAAGTTCTTAGCAATGTCTTTCTCTGCATCAGGATTGTTTAAAAAAAATGAGATTTTATGACAAATCTATTAGTATATAAATAATGACTGCGCTATTATTTAATACCTAAACTTTGTAAAATATTAGTTTAAGAAACCTGAGTCAAATAAAAGTATTGCACAATAAATGTACTTCATAGAAACCAACAAATATCAACAACGTGACCAGGAAATTTTAATCAACTGAATGGTAAACCCTTAAAAATCCATGAAGAAAATTGGACAAATTTATTTGTTGTGTCTTGTTAATAAGTGTACAGGTCTATGTCTACTTGATCAAACAATTCAGAATGTAGCATCAGGAATTGTATTGTATTTATTCTACAAGCTATTGTAGCATGCATCAGTACAAACCTTCAGGCAGATGTCCACAGCTGGTCATGAATAAAAGGACAATTTTTTTCTTTTGTTTTATTACAATGAAGTTAAACAATACAGAAAATCACATGAATTTAGTGGGTCAATTCTATAAACCCTGGAACAGGAGGAACTCTACATTAAATATGGTTACACATCCAGATTTAGGTGTACAAGTAGATGACAACAGTTAAAGCCCTCACCAAACTATTGTTGGGGACATGAAGTCCAACAGCACTTGAAGTGCTGTGAAGGCATTATTTATGAACAGCAACATAAGGTTACAGAACTTGCCTTTAAAGATGGTACGTTCATGTAATTCCAGCGCCTTCACAATTTAACGAACCATATTTACTATACTTCACTTCTAAAAACCTAGATGAAACATGAAAAAGAAGCCATACAGTATAAATTGCAACATCAGGGAAAGTTCCGTTTTATTATTCTAAATAATTTTTCCCATGTAAAATAATGTCCAACAGTTCCTTGTATGTGGAAAGATTTTTCCCCTAAAAGTCACAATGAAGTTTTAATTGATGGAAGCTTGGCTATATTAACAGCACAAGACGAGAAAAGGTTTAATCTCCAAACCTATTAGAACGTTTGCAGTAGCATCAGTAGCGGCCACCTTGCGACATTACAGGAGGTCTCATTCCCATTGGCGGTCTAGGAGGTCCACCTTGATAAGGAGGCACCATTGGGGGCCCTTGACCATATGGAGGCATTGCACCAGGAAGATACCCTGGCATGCCCTGGTGGTGAGCACCGTACTGACCTGAAAAGCAAAATTTGAAAGAATAAAGTTACATCTACCTTCAGCAATACTGCTATTAGTATATGTCACTTAATTCCACAATTAAATATATTTCATGAGCTTCCAACATAGCTTAATTTGTTATTACCATGAGGTGGAATTGGTGGTCTCATTCCTTGTTGCTGTGGGGGAATTCCTGGCTGTGGTGGCATCATACCTCCAATTGGTCCAACTGGTGGATTGCCCATAGATGGCTGCCCTGGTCGAGGGAGGTTACGCTGGTATTTAGGTAACTGAGCTCTTCTTTCTTCCTGTGAAGGGAAGCACATGGAGGATATCTAATCAGTGCAAAATCAAAACAAGATTCATTCTGAAACACAAATAGTTGAGACACTATTCTCATGGCAGTAATTATAGTTCAGGAAGTTCTAATAGATAAATTTTGGTAATCAAATCATTATTAAGTAGATATGTATTCTAGGATGTAAATTCAGTTTACAAAGTTCTGTTTTAATTGCTACCTCAACTAAAGCGGGAATTAAATATAGAATCAGCCAAACTCTCAAAAATGAAGCACTCTAAATACTACAGAGGATAGGCTTTGAGAATTATACTGTTTTATCCATGGTAAATCATATAGGAAATTGAAAACTTTTACTTAAGTTGTAATCTTATCATAAAGAAAAGACATAAAGAAAATTATCTTTAACTTACCAAGGATATATCCTCATCTGGATGGATCAACTTACTGGTTGCGCTGGTTGTTGTAAGAGTAGCAGGCTTACTTGTTATAGAAGTAGCAGGCTTAGCTGCAGTACTATTTGTTGTATTAGTGGTGGATGCTGTAGATTGTGTGTAAGCAGGGAATGTAGGTTTGGGTGGTTCTGTAGTAGTTGCAGGTGCATTATTCAAAGGTTTGAAATCTGTACCAACTGGGCCTGGAACAGTTGCTTGAGCCTGTATTTACAAATACAAAATTAAAAATGTAAGTACACTGTTATGTTTTAATTAAACTTTATAATATTATCATATACTGACACAGATAAATTAATCCAAAGTTAAAGTTCTATTTTATTACAAAAAGTAGCAAATTAAAAATAAATAAATAAATCCTCCAACATAAACATACTGCAAAGTTTGAGATGTCTAGAACAAAGAGGAACAAACTATCTCCACCTGTCATTTTGTGTATTATATCTTGTATAGTTAAGATGTTTGGTTTTTCAAAATAAAAATCAATTTAATCTAGGAATATCAGATGAGATAAATTAGTATTCAAACAGAATGTTTAAGACTGAAGCTCAGGGTCAATTTTTATGTTAAATTTGTTTAAAATAATCTATAAAAATACCTTGCTGTTCTGAGTCATCTCAAATTATCACTTGCAGTTTTCAATTATTTTCCTATCCTACAACCCATGAAAGCTTTATTTAAGTTCAATGGGAAAGTACAAGCTTGAAAGGATTTATGCACAACAAACAGCTCTTAGTTTCACACGACAGAATGCTTTGGCAAGCAAACAGCACATTATTTCGAACTAATCACTGAACTCCAAAACAATACTAGGTAAGTTGGGATTTTAGCACATGATGCATTTGACATTTAACATGATGTATCAGAATAGCATAAATTAGAAAAAATAAACCATGCATCAATTAAACCACTGCCCACTAAATGCACTTAACTGCTTTCATGCTCTCTTTTTAACCCTTTAGAACCACAATGTAGAATTTTCTTTAATTACCCAATTATTATGCATGAATTCTCAGATTGTGTTGAACAACTAAACATAATCAGGAAACCACAATTATCTGACAATGTTTAGGCAGATTTTTAAAGTGTACATAACGGTTTAAAGGGTTAATTGGCAAAGCAATTTTTAACTGCAACTTCCTGCGTACTTGTGCTGTGCTAGGAAACAGAGCTTTAGAAGGTGCTGACAGTTCTGAATTGGATGAAGTTGTACTTGAGCTTGTGACAGGTGTCCCCATCTGTAGCACAAAAGAAAGGAAACAGTAAACAGTCTCCAAATGAATGCATAAAATAACCAAGAGGAAAAAGCTCAGATTGATTTTTGTATATGAATAGGGATGCAGATAAAATGTAACCTGTTACTTTTGTTTTGAGCCTGAAACAAGCAAAATGCATAAATTCTGATAAATTGTTCCAGGTGGGCCGTGGTTTAAGAAAAAGAAAATCATGATGTTTCCATTGTCCCAGCATATTCTAGCAAGGATTCTGGATGTTTTTACACAATGAGCAGAACAAGGCTAGTGTGTATTCCTTCTGCTTTCTTCTTGTCCCTCCAGTAGCGCCCAACAAGACACACGTCACCCATCTATGATGCTTGAAGCCTCTTTCCTGCTTATTAACAACTTATTAACAACCTGCTGCTTATTAACAACAGTGTTTCAATACTTATCTGGAACAAAAGAACAGCATTTCATTCCATGCTCGTTTTGGTTTGTACATGAACTACTCCAAACCAGCTGTTTGGCGCAGCTTGTGAGTGAACCTTCTACAGAACCCTGTGCATGACTCTTTCTTGCAGAAATTTAAAAGTTCTGCTTTCAAATCAATAGTTAAAAAACAAAAACCTTCATTTATAATGCAGTTCTGTTAATGAGCAGATACTACTTTAACTTGCAAAATAATTGTTACTTTAGATTTTAAAGTTAATATACTGTATAGAAGTATTTTCTTCTCCAGTATCAACATAGAACCTACTTTAATCTAGTATAAAAAGTGCAGAACAGAATACTCCGCTCTCTTAATTTTGTGTTCATTTTTATAAGTACAAAACATGTTTTAAGGAAATAAAATTGCTATTAAGTGGTTATTAGAACTATTTCCTGAATATGTGGTAATACAGACGTTACTTATTTTCTTTGCCGTCCCTCCCTCTATTCTGAGTTTGGACTGACAAAGTATTTACATTCTTTGCAGGAGAAAAAGTAGATATAAATAGGAAACCTTTGACAAGAATACACCCGGGGTGGGATTCAACCGGTGTTACTACCAGTTCAGCTATTGTGCATGTGTGAAAACACCTTAAGCTGTGCCGCCCAACAGCTGAAAAGCGGTGCGTGTGGGTTCACAGCGTTTGAAAAACCTCTTTTTCCCTGCTTTTTTAACCTCAGCTGTGCCGCGCAAAGCAGCTGAGGTTGAAAAAGCAGGAAATACAGTACAGGTAAGAGCCCAGGCGAGCGAGCAGGTGGGTCAAAAAGCAGCAAACACAGAACTGGTTCTGTGTCTGCTGCTCTTCAGTTACCGGTTCTATAGAGCCAAGCAGAACCGGTAGCACCCCACCCCTGAATACACCATACAACAGAATGAATATATATTGTGTACGTAGTAATTCACTATTTCAACATACATGAAAAGAAAATTAATGCACTGAAGCTTTTTGGTGATTAGATATTTGAAAACTTACTTGTCCGGCACTAGGAAACAGTGGTTTGGTAACTGGTGGTTGGGGAGTAGGTACTGCAATGACAGGAGCTGGAGGTCTATTAAGAATACCCTGAGTAGTCACCTGCTGGGCTTGCGTCATTGGAGGTAATCCAGGGCGAGGACCAACAGGTGGTGGCATACCTGTAGAATAATTATTTCTGATTATGCTTTGGTGAGGGTTTTAATAATACCACAGGCATGATCACAAATACTGACCTTCCATCGGAGGGCTAACACATCAGACAAAGAAGCATTAAATGCAGAAATATACTTTAATGATGTTTAGATTGAGTAGAATTGCTAGGTATAGTTAAGGCAACTGATTTAAAGACCTTTTTTATTGAACAAATTCGGCTACCCTGTAAAAGTGATGATATTTACCTAAATATTGATTGTATTTACCACATATGTATTTTATTACTGTATTTTCTTTCATCCGTTTTACCCTGGAATTAGATTCTTTTATTTTTGATTTTCTATCTACTTGATAACAAGGGGAAGGGGGTTTTGAGAACCCTCACTGAAAGCCTGAGGGCCCAGTCACAAGAGAAGTGCAAACGATATTATCCTTGGCTGGATTTAGATTACAAATTCTGTTTTAAGGAATGCTTAAAAATGCTTTATTTATCATTTTTACTCTGTTGAAAAAATGTTAATATTTTATTTATTAAAAGCAATTTGGACATAACATTTATTTATACAAACATTTTTAGACCTCCTTTTAAGGGTAAACCCTTCCCAGCATAATCTATCACATTTTCTAATTCTTTGCAAACAATGTTTAGAACTATTATTCTTTCACCCAATGCTTAAATGTATCTATTTTTAATTCTGAAAATCTGCTAAACTTCTTGTATATTACAATGGTGTACAATATTACCCAAATAAACATAGGTAATATAAAGACAAATTGAGTAAATAATAAAATATGTAAATATACACTAAAATTACTAAACAATTCAAGCAGTGATAAGAATTTCCAAAAATATTTTTATAGAGAAATTTGATAGAGAAATACACATACAAATTAATCCTTGTATTAGTACTATATTCTTGGAAGCAGAAATTTCTTTTTATCATTCTTGAAGAATCAAATTAGCCTGAACATCAACATTTTATACACGTTCTTTTGGAACTATTCCAAAGTCTTTCCCCCAAAAGGGGGAAAGGGAAAGTAAAGCAAATACACAAAAAGGCTTTTGTGTTTCAATAAAAATGCAGTTTGTGTTAATAGAAATATATCAGTCAACAGAGAAGGATGGAAAAAGCTTCTATCAGCAGTTGCCATTGCCTGAACTTAATACATTTTGTTCCTGTGCACCCTCTTTCTAAGTCCCATAAACAGCTGCTCTGTGTCCCTGTCTTTTACCCCAGAACTGTAGCAACCATAGATCCAGTTGAAAAAATTAAATAACTCTCACCACAATATGGATTCGTCATTCCTGACCTACCTGGTGGCATACCAGGCATGAGAGGTGGGATTCCTGGTCCTGGAGGCATCATCCCACCCATTGGCATCATCCTATAAAATTGAAAGTCTCTAATGAGATCTCTCATAAAGAATGGCACTGTATGACATTAAAATGTCCCAAAGTCTTCTACGAGCTGAGAAATGTAAATATCTGCCTTCAAGTAACTTAGGCTGTTATTGGATTTTTAGCACAACTTCCTGTCTAAATTCAAAACACGAGCAAAATAAAGTAGAGCTATCCTAATTCATCATCCAACTCTTTTTGGGAAGATAGAATGAAGCAATTGGCAGCCTATACATACCCCCGTTTGGTCTGGAGTTAATGTGCTGGCCCAGAAACCAAAAGACCATAAATTCTAGCCCCGTCTTAGGCATGAAAACCATCTGGGTGGTTTGGGTCAATCACTCTCTCTCAGTCCAACCCATCTCACAGGGTTGTTGTTTTATGGAAAATAGGAGGTGGAAGGAGTATGAATTATCCTTACTCCCTTAGATTTATAAAATATTAAAGGTGGAATAACAAAATCACAATAAATGAAAAATATCCATGCCTGCAAAAGCCAGTATTTTGAATTAAAAATAGATAATTGTTTACCTACTTTTTTTACTTGATTTCAGTTTCCTTCCCATTCTCTTCCAGGTAATAGACAAAACCCAGTAACACAGGAGATGAGTGGCTATCCCCCATTAATCTTACTTACAACTCAAAATACTACGAAAGCCTTAGCAATTAGGAAAAACTACATTGGAAAACACTATTGAACACTCCTGAAAGAATAAACAAATTGTCCTGACAAATAAGGATAGGATTGTCAAATCCTCAACTGTGCAGCTTTTAAAATGAAGCCCCACAGCTGAAGTAAATCAAATGAAAGCATGAAGCAGGCTGTTGCCTAAACACTGCTCACTTACCCAGGCGGCATTCCGGGCATGACTGGAGGCATTCCGGGCATCATTGGTGGAACACCTGCCATTAATGGTGGTATACCTAGAAGTCAGAATGTATATTAACTGACCTGTAAATAAATGATCTATTGTTTACTGGATAAATATATGTGAAAAACTCGACTGTTTTTCTTAACGGATGAAGCCATGGAAAACTAACAACTACAATCTACTGGATTCATTAGGTTTTCTAGTGTTGATTTAACCTTTTCTGAAATGCTCAAAACTATCCTTCAGATCTGGACCCTGTATATTTTACCATGCTTAGATATAGCTCTGTAAAGAAAATACAATTCCAAAAAGCAGAGGAAGTTCTACTGACCATATTAACATATTTGTAGCAAGCAAAATCAAAAGTCTTGTAAGATAAATACCTATTTTTCACTTTTAAGAACACATTGAGAACTAAACAAGTTAGAAGAGTCCCTGAGGAACAGATGGAAGCAAAAGACATTACTTCTCTAATTTAGATTTAATCCCCACTGAATATTTTCTGGCTCTTAAATGTTAAGAAAATGATTAATATAGCTAAAATGTATTAAAATGTATTAAAATTAATATAGCTAAAAACACCACCGTGCTGATTCAAAATAATATTCTACTGAAATTCTTCATATTAGTAAAAAAATTTCTAAAGCTGACATAATTGTTTCTAACTATATAACTACCTGGAGGAATTCCGGGTGCCCCTGGCACAGGAGGTAAACCTGGCTGTGCCATTGGTGGTATATATCCCTGTTGTGGCTGCACAGGCTGTGCTTGAAATGAGGTGGAAGCTGAAGATTCATCATCATCATATTCATCAGAATCATCTTGTTGTTTCTTTTTCTGGCTTTCTGCTACAAGTTTCAATGTTTGGGTTAATGCTAATCTTTGTCAGAAAACGTAACCATTCTTTTTAACACAATTATCATATTTCTACATTGTAAGATATTGCTGTACAAATGAATAAATTATCACAAACATTTTGAGCAAGATTCTTTTCCAAACCATTTAAATACTTGTTTGATTCCCCCCACTATTTCACAGTAAATCAAACTCAACCAGCTAGTGAAATCAAAATATGCTTACATCTATTATGCCCATTTTTAGTCAGTTATTCCATGTAGGCAGCAAATAAAGCTGCAAAGAATATGATCTGGTTTTCCAACAGGGCATCCATCACTACTGTAACTATATCCACTCATCTTGTTCTTGGTCGACTTCTTTTTCATCTTTCTCTGCATTACAGCCTTCTCCAAAGAATGATGTCCAAAGTACAATAATTTGAACTTGGTCACCAAAACCAACATTCAATACTCTAGCCATCCTGCTTTTTCAAGTCCAACTTTCATTTCCACAGAGCGTTATAGGGAATACCATCACTTACGCTATTCAGTTCTTTGTAGGTATAGGCATAACATTTGAATATCTTATCCACGGCCTTCATAGCTGCTCTACCAAGTGCTAGTCTGAAGCAAATTTCTTTACTACCTGTTCCTTTACTGTTGATAGTTGATCTGAACAGGCAGGAACCATTCATCACTTTGATATCTTGTCATATCTAAGGTTGGTCATTAGTTTCATCTTCTTTATATTTAATCTTAGTCCCTTTTCTTCACCAGGCTCCTTTACTTTTATTACTAGAACTTGTAGATACTTTGCATTTTCAGCTATAAGGATAGTATCATCAGCAAAGCAGAGGTTACTGATACTTCCATTTTAAAACAAAGCTCATCTTATTCCAATCCAGATTCTTCAATAAAATTTTGCCATCTTAAATTTATAATTAGTAATAAGCTTACCTCATAAAATCAGATTAACTTTCATTCTCTTATCCTTTAGTAAATTGATAGAGTTATTTTCCACTAAGCTAAAAAAATTAGTTTTAATTGGAGGACAGCAACTGAGACAATTTTATGTCATGTACTTTTAATGCTTTACTACTGTAAGCCACTGAGAATTTAAAAATATTTAATATCACTCCAGCTATAATCAATACTATTTTCAACATTATCCATGTCAATCCATGACTACTATTTATATCATTCTACATTTTTCATGCAGATGTTTATGAACATGTTCAAGCAATACAACTACAAATACAATGAGACTCAATAGTCTGCCAAATCAAAGTGGGATCATGTTGCAAACGTTCAGTATAAATATCAGGAAGTGTTTCCATTTACCTTGAGTTTTTTGTTCAAGCAGCCTTCTCCTTTCATCCATGTCTTTTTCAGGAATGCCCTCCATACCATATATTTCCAGTTCAATATCAGTTCTTCCTGGTATTGCATTTGGAACAGCATCAATTGTTTCCTTATGTACCTTAAGAAAGAGAAATCCAAGCTAATGTAAACAGGAGGTACATTAGAGACTACAACTATAGAACTTTAAGATTAGATTTTTATTTAGCTATGAAGTTTTCCAGATTTTTTTTTTTTGAAGAGGGTTCAATCACAGTATCTTAATGTTAACCTTAAAGATACACCTTTTCTTGGTTTAGCTACAACACAACACTAGGAAAAGCCGTTGCTTTTTAAGTTGCTATCAACAGTTAAAACAAACACAGCCATACAGCTAGTTCTCAAACATCTTTCTCAACTGGGATTCAAATACTCTAACGTTTATTTTCCTGAACAATTCTGGAAATCTATTCAAAAATGCTTGGAACACCACATTTGAAAAGAAAAACAGAATCTACAAATACCAAAACATACCAGCCTGGAACTTTCTACATATCTTGTTGTTCACTCTTATTAATGGACACTCAAAACATTAGATGCCACCTCTCCGTGTATAGCTCCTATCAATTCTGCTTATTTTCTGATGAAATAACTCTTCTAATCTTCTACTGATGCAGCTACTATTGTAAATGGGTAATCTTTAATTTATAATTAGTTGCAGTTACAATAAACCCCCAAAAGATACTTGATTTGAAGTGCTGCTGTCCCCCCCACAATCATGTGATTACATTTTGGATGCTTGGCATTTATTTCTATTTTTGGCAAAAAATGCCCATTGCAGATCATAGATTTGTTTTAACACCATGGTGAGTTGCTTAACCACCACTGCAAAAAATGTTGGAGAATTAGATGGGTCACATGACCAACATGACGTAGGAGCGTAACTCTGGATGATGAAGGATCGTAACTCTGGGTTCTATTAAGCTGTAAATCAAGGACTACTTGTACATCAATGCCATTTGTGAAAAACAAATTAATTTTCATTTTCTTAGTTAATATGGAAAGATTGGAAAACAAAAGCATATATATATATAAAATACCACAAATAATCCTACTTATATGAGTACATTATAGTACTTACCTGCATACAATGTATAGCCAAACCAGGCCCTGTATACAGTTTCTTATGACATATATGGCATTTAAAGTGCTTTGCTTTTTGGTGTTGAATAAGAATTTTCTCATCATCAAAATCCCTGTTACAATACCTATTCCACATTGTTAAAGAAGTCAAACATAAATGCTAAAATTAAAGATATTCATTAGTCAACATTTACTATAATCAGTTTTAAAGAAAGCTGTAACCCATTTCCAATTAAATTTCAATTACTGTTATAAATCAAGATTTCATAAACCTTATACATTTCTCACCAGGAAAGACAACTTAGAAGGTATCCAACAGTTATTCACTTATAAAGTGACTATAACCCCAATGTTAAGTGGCAGGATGAGGAATTTTCAAGGTTAGAACCCCACGAATTGATGTGCTGAGTAGTCAACCACTGTTTACAATACCATCTAACACATATCTTTGCCCATACCAGGCTTGGGATAAGGGAAAGCCATGCAGACTCTCTGAACATACAGAAGTTGTTTCTCAGAGAGATTGCTTTCAACCTTTTCAACCATAGTATTGGTTTTGCTTTTTTGAAAACATAGGGACAATCACACCTTCATAGTTAGCTAATTAACTTATATAACCATTCCAGAGTCGCCTTATGTAGGAAATAGGTAGCATATAAATTTGGTGTATATATGTGTATAAAGCTAACTCAGAACAATGGAAGAAAAAGTTATCCAACCGTTAAGAAGTTCTTATACTTAAATCTTCTCAATTTCAGCTAGCGAGAGATCAAGAGAAATACATCTATAGATATCTGGCAAACATCTAGCAAAAAAAAACCCGCTACAGTTTCGGTCTACTACCAGCACGATACCCATTAATTAACAAAATATGCTTTTTGTATCCATAAACGTTAGGGCACAAAGTTAACGGCAACAGACCATACTGTAAGAACGGGATACGATGCTGGATGAAGACACAAGAAAAAGCTAATCTACTTCCCTCCCCGCCGAATAAATGTCTAATTTCCCAAACGATACGGGAACAAAGGGGCGTGAATCCCAAAAGGCGGCAGCTCCGAAACTCCTTTTTTTTTTTTTCAAGGCTCCGGCGCGAAGAAATCCGGACTATTATACGGCAGTGAAAAGCGAGATTTTTGAACATCTTTCCTGCCGTCGGCCGGATTTTTTTTGCGGCCTGGCTCTGCCTAATAAAAACAGGCCGCTGAAGCATCTTAACACCAGAAAGGGGGGTGGGTGGAAAGAGGCCTCTACCGCAGGCAGGCCAGTCGGGCCTCCCTCCCGATCCGAAACGAGGCGGCAGCGGCCTTCCGCTTAGAAAAGGATACCAGCACCAAGGCTTTAGCTGCTTCTTCTTCTTCCGACCCATAACGAGAAGGCAACGGCTCGGACGAGAAAACTCCCCCCAAAACGGAACGCTAACGCCGACCAAGCGCGCTCTTCCTCTGTCTTTCGCTTTTCTCTCTTCACCGCTTCTCAGCCAAGAACAAAATGGCCGCTTTCCTCCGCCGAATCCCTCGCCTTCCCGAAATGCAGCGCGGGGGACAGGCACATGTACGGTCTCGAGCCGACCTCACCAATTGTTACGTCATCCGTTCCTTCCCTGCGCGCGGTGCAGCGGAAATTCTAGCCGACTGTGCGCTTCTTGCCCGCGTAGGTTGCCTTTTTTTTTCTTCTTCCCTTTTTGTGAGTGTTCTTTCCCACTGCGACTTAACGATTCTTTTAAAACGCTGAAGTTTGCTTTGGGAGAGAGATGCGCAGGAGGCAGTCGAGCCCGATATCCTGGTCCTCAAATTGTTGCTGGCCATTCCCTAGTTTAGAAATAATGATGGTGATTTTCATATTCCACCTGAATAAGATAGTTTCTGCAAATGAATCAGATTCTTCCAACTCGTGAGATTTAAAAAAAAAAATAGCAGCGAGGGTGCCGCTTCATCTTCGAAGGCTTATGTAGCTCAATCCTGTATTTGCGTGCTGCTAAGTAAATCCACTTAGGATTCAATAGGAAACTAACGGTATTGTAATTAAACATTGCGAAAATCGGTAGGGTTCTGAAAAAGAGCATTCATTACATTAGATAAGCCTATTTAACAATTTGACCGTCCCATCATATACACTATATACCTATTTGAGTTCTACTGAGATCAGTAATTCGTGTGTAAATCAAATTATAGCTCAAAGGTTATTTGTTATAATTATAAACAAGTTTACAATTGGAATGACTTTTTACTTAGATGATCCGTGAATGTAGTCCCACTGATTTGAGCGACAATTTGGTTCATTCTAAACTAATGCCGATCCAATCTGGCCTGCTGAGCTGATTAAAAAAAAAACAACTCCGTAAAATTGGGGAATAAATGTTAACTGAGCCAGCGTGACTTGAAGAGAAGCGTGTGGCACGCGCGTGTGTGTGTGTGTGTGTGTGTGTGTGTTGGGTGCGCGTGTGCCCGCAACATCCGTAACAATTTCGGGAATCTACAGCTACCTCTTGTCTTCCCTCTGCCGTGGCAACATGTTTGCGACCGGAACCTTTGTGACGCCATATGGACAGAAGGGTGGAGCCGAGGAGAATAGGTCGTTGCGCTGTACGGCAATAGGGGGAACGGATTTTCTTCGCTCCCGAGTTCGCCAGAAAAGATGTTGCCTTCCCTACAGGAGTCCGTGGACGGAGATGAGAGGGAGCTGGAGAGCAGCGAGGAGGGAGAACGGAAACCGGAGCGTAGCAGCAACAGTTACCACTGCTTGTACGGCTACCGAGGCTCCGGGTAAGAGAGGGAGGGCTGCTCCGGCGGGTCCCTGCTGGCTTTCTCTTCCCTGCGGGTCTCCAGCCTGAACCATAAAAGGCTGAAGATCTCTCTTACCGACTCTTATGATCCAGCATTTCTGAATCTGGGGGTCCTGGATGAATTCATTCCCGCCGTCGTCCCATCCCCTTGGCTGAGAGCGATGGGGCTTGTCGTCCAATTCATCTGGGGTTCACCAAATGAAATGTTTGGTAACAGTTGAAAACGGTTGGTGGGGATAAAACCAACACATTATTTTAGTCCAGTTTCTCGTTTCCGTCCGTGTTCATGTAGATGGTAGAAGGTGTATGTCTGGGCATGAAATCTAGCCTAGGTCCATTGATTTTCCTTGAAATGTGATTATTATGTATGTTTCCAACCCATGCGGTCCCAATTGGGCCTGCAATACTTGCTGAGGTCATCGATCCATCTTGCTTTAGGTCTCTTTCAGGGACGCTTTTTATCAAGCGGGATCCATTCTATGACTGTCTTGTCTTCAATTCTTCTTGCTATGTGACCAGCCCATTTCAATTCTTTGACGCTCTTGATGATATTGTATACTTTCGTTTCTTCTCTAATCCATGTGCGGGTCTTTCTATCTTGTCTTGGAAACATCTGGAAGAGGCCTTCATCCTGCAAATGGATAGACCAGGGATCTCAAACTTACAGCCCACAGGCCAGATGCATCACGTGCTGCCCCCCACCCGGTTTAGCGAAGGGGGCAAAAAGTCCCAATACATCATGTGACACCGCGAGTTTGACACCCCTGGGATAGACAATGGCTAAAATGATGATGATGACTATTATGCAAATGAGAGCCAGTTTGCTGTAGTATAGTAGTTAAGGCTTCAGACTAGAATCTGGGAGATCATTAATTCTAATCCCATCTTAGATACAGATCCGAGGTGGTATTCAGCAGGTTCTGACCAGTTCTGGAGAGCCAGTAGTGGAAATTTTGAGTAGTTCAGAGAACTGGCAAATATCACCTCTGACTGGCCCTGCCCCCACCTATTCTCTGCCTCCTGAGTCCCAGCTGATTGGCTGGGTCTCCTTTGGTTGCTCTGTACAGGAGAATGGAGCTGGAAAGCAGGCTAGTGGGGTGGGGAGGGAATGGGGATTTTACAGTATCCTTCCCCTGCCATGCCCATCAAGCCACACCCACAGAACAGGTAGTAAAAAAATTTGAATCCCTCCACTGAGCCAGATGGATGACCTTGGGCCAGTCCCTGTCACTAAAACCTAGGAAGCAGGCAAAGGGAAACCATTTCTCAAAAACCTTGCCAACAAAACTGCAAGGACTTGTACAGGCAGTCTCCAAATATCAGACACAATTAACAGAAAAAAATACGACTACAGTAGGTCTGTTGACGGATGAATTTATCTAATGCATTTTAAAATGTTGGTCATTCATTGGAGTTAACTCATCTGGACCTATCAAATTCTTCTTTTTTTTTTTTGAAAATTTTATTTGGGTTTTCACAAAAACAAAGTACAAATAAAACATCTTTTTTTGAAAATAGCATGGTCTCAGATTATCACTTCTTCATACAGACACAAAACTCAATTTCATGCTCATTTTTATAATCTATTCCATATCTTATTACCGTTTTATATTTTCTGCATAGTTTTCCCCCTCTTTTAATTTTCTCAATTTTATTTTAATTATCTCAATTCAAATCATTATATTTATACTTTTGTCTGTCCTGTTTCAATTTCATATTATCTTTTCTCATTAAACAAATTTTCCCCTGTAATTACCAATTGGAGTATGACACCTTTATATCTTTTAATTTTATCCATTCAAATTCTTATTTAAGCTTCAGTGTATACCTTTAAGATTATAGCATTCAATATAATACATAACTTCCAATTGAATTCTGCTTGGTACATTCTTAAAATACACACTATATTCTTAAAAAGAAAAAATTATATATATATGTAAATAAAACACACATTCCATTCCAATTCAATTCTATCATTAATATTCATTAAAATCTTAACATCTTTAACATTTCTTTTCAATTAAATATCCTACTTCCTTGGGAACACTTATAAACTTTCCATAGTTAATTCTCTTTTTTCCATTTTTCTCACTTATATTTTTATAAATCATTACTAATAATTAAAATGTTCCCATTTAATTCTCTCAATCACTTTAATTCATTCATTTATTAACAAACATTCCACTACATTATAATAAATATTTTATCCATCATTTTAGTCGTATTTTCTAAAATTATTTGTGTTTGTAATATAACAATGCTATCTTATGTACCTTTGCAGAATCCCTTTTACAATTAAATTTTCACCCATTATCTCTAAACAAGCTTATGGTTACAATCCTTATATCTTTTCCCTGTTTCTCTATTTCTTGTTTCTGTCTTTTACAGTTTCTTTTCCTTGCCTTCTTCCTGCTCTTCTTCTCCCTCCCCTTTTTACCCCCTCGTCTCTCTACTTCTAACTCTCTCATCTGTAATCCCCTCTTCTGTTGCTTTCTAATATTATACTTATCTTTCAAATTGTTCTTCTTCTTTTTGGTTGTTTTTTCTAGTCTTAAACCTTTCACTCTCTTTCTCCCCTTTTCTCCCCGCTCCCACTTAAAATTATTTGATCATTAAAGATGGCTTCTTCTTTGTCCCAATCTTCTTGTTCTGCAAGTATTTCTTGTTGTTTCTCATAGTTCCAGATCTCCATTTCTAGGAATTGAAATACGAAGCCAAAAGAATCTCTCCCTTCTTGTGCATCTTCTTTCCATTTTTTAAAGTTCCATTTTCAGTTCTTCTAAGAGTGATGCCATTTTAAAGACTTTTAAACAACCACCCGGTTAATTTTAGTCATCTAAATGCAAAAACCAAAAATCACCAAGTAATCCAAATCATCCAAGTCTGTTTCTTCTTGCCTCTTTTTTCCACTTTCTCTTCCTGGGGTTCTATTATTTTGTTACCAAGTTTCAGTTAAAATGTATCTTTTAGGAATCTTGTTAAAATTTCACAGTAAGTTCCTTTTAGTTATAGTTCCATTCTTTAGTTCCAGGCAGTCTCCTCCATTTTTCCAGATCCTGCCCTTTTATTCTTTTTTTCCCCCTCCTTTCCTGCTTTAAAAAACTTTTAAATATCCAGAAATCTTTATTATCCCTTTGACTTTTATTTTCAGCTTAGATGCCTATTAATGTCAAAGTGGATTTTTTTCAATTTCTTGCTTAGGTCTCTTAGCTGTCAGTATAAGGAAGGGAAGAAAAAAAAAACCTAATCCTTTCCCTTCTCTCTCTCCTTCGCAGCTTCAAAATCTTCTTTGGGAACAATGTTGTTTAATTTAAATTCCAGGGTACCTTACGTTGTTGCTTTTTCGGTTTAACCCGGTCGACCAAAACTTTCTCTTATCTTCCTCCTGCACATTCTTTTCCGGTTCAGTTCTTCTTTGACGTGGCCATTTCTGACCACCGCTGCAACCGCCTTCGGGAAAGGGAGTAATGGCCAGCTGGGGAAGAGAGATGCGGCTCTCCTTGACCCTGCTGGCAGTCTCCCTCTTCTTCACCACCTTTACGGGGTGGCTTAGCCCCGAAACCAGCTGGCTCGGGGTGCTCTGGTGGTGAGCACAGATCGAAACCATGCACGATCGCGGATTTCGGTCTGTCGCCGAAGAGACTCAAACCGGAAGCCCCTGGACCTATCAAATTCTTCTGAGTTGTTCAGAGGGCTTCTCAAAACAAGGTATCATTTGCCTATTGTG